CTCTGCCTCAGAACATGAAGGAAGCAGGATATATAGATTCTCGTTAGTTAGGGAATCAAAGGTTCTTGGATCGGTAGTATCGTGGTTAAACTCCTACACAGATCATAGGAAGACTTAAGATTGGAGATTAATTTTGTAGTTATTCAAGCAACATCAGACAGAGAGAGTCTGTCTTCAAACTCTGATACCTTGTCCAGCTCTATCCCATCTCTGTCCAATACAAAAAGCCATTAATCTTTATATTCCATGATCATAAATGCATGCATTGTTTACGTTTCATTGTTATACAATTAACAGAAATCTTCCATCCTAGGCCTTTCTTTTATCCTGTCTACAGGAATCTGTTTATACTCCCTCATCTGCTCTCGAGGCTGATACAGACCTGAGAGAGCATGAGGTACCTTTCCAGTCATTTCTGCCAACGTGAGCCTTTGAGACGCCCACCGGATGCCTGCTACAAGATGCCTTACGTTACCAGCTTGCAAGGTGCTGTCTTACTCCAGTCATAGCCTCCTTTCTGTGAAATCCTATTTAATTTCCACCACAGTAGGATTTGAAACACAAACAGATGACACAGATTAAAGCTCTTTGAGAAGATTTGTGGCTCGGAGGCGCACTGACGATGTTACTAGCAGGAGACGTCTGCAATCAAACACACCAGCATTTACAACCAGATCACACAAATATTGAATGGCAGGGGAGGCTCGAGGGGCTGAAAGCCCTGTTCTGGCTCCTACTTCATATGTCTGTGTGGTCTGGCCTGCATGTGACTTCATGCCCGCAGCAGTGCCGTCAATTCTTAACTGGCCTCTGAAATGGCCTGGCAAGCCATTCAGTTCAAGGCCAATTAGGTACATGCACAAAATCTGACAATAGCCACATCCTAACAAGAGAATAAAGGGAGGGAAAGAAACAAATAAATAAATCAATCCTGGCTTAGTGATTGATGCGAAACGTCTTTTTCTGTGCAATTTTTAAATTGTGACTTCAAAATATTTCAATTCTATAGAACTGGAGGGTAAATCTGCCACTAACGGTGTTATCGCTAGCACAGGCCACAAACGTAAGCATTATTAGGGCTGACAAATGTAAATACTTGTAATAAGAGCAATAGTCTGTGTATCATTAACATTGTGCTAAACAAGTGCCAAGACCTATTCTGAGGAACACCAGTTATGTTTACCATCAAGAGATAGAGATACAGTTTACCTACATTAGGCACACAAACGTTGAGCAACGTCCCCTACAACTGTCACACAGTGAACCCACTCATTTCAATTAAGCAGTTCCTCGCTTCATCATTCAGCAACGCAATTAGTTGCTCTTGATGGGTTAATGGCTTTACTTACCCGCTGACTGGAGATGTAACTGTGAATGTAGATCAATATATCTGCTTTTAATGAGGCTTGATTAATAGCATCCAACAAAGGGGTGTTCCCCATTAGGCCGTGGACTCAAAAAGAACAAGAAAATACTGGCCAAAGACAATAGCAGCCTCCATTCTTCCAATGCAAAGTGGCAATGTGGACGGCTGTTTTGGAGGAGGGGGTGGGGGTGCGGCGGGGAACGACTTCCCTTTTCAGGTTTGGGGTGGAATGAGGGATGGGGAGAAAGAGAGTAACAGCAGTGGCAGTGGGCAGTTTGGGGATCAAGGAAGAAGTGGATAAGGATGTGAGGTTGAGGGGTACACAGATAGGGGACTGAGGATTAGGGCTGGGGGTTTCTAGGGGGTATAGATAGGGGATGCAGTATCTGGGATGGGGGCTTCTGTGGGGTACAGATACGGGACTAAGGATTAGGGATGGGGTTTCTAGGGTGTATAGAGAGGGGATGGAGTATTTGGGATGGGGGCTTCTGTAGGGTACAGATAGAGGGCTGAAGTTCAGGGAAGTGTGTTTCGGGAAAGGTACAGATAGGGGGCTGAGGTTCAGGGATGTGTGTTTTGGGGGAGATGCAGAGAGGGGGCTGAGGTGCAGGGATGTGTGTTTCGTGGGAGGTACAGATAGGGGGCTGAGGTGGGTGGTGTGGTGTAAACAAGGTACTGTCTGTATAGTTGGGTGCAGCAGTGGTGAAAGTGTGGAGAATGGAAGGGGATCTGAGAGTGGTAGCCAGGAAGCCTGCAGGCAAAACCTGGGGACTCTATTAGGGATAAACATTCAAAGACTGTTTTCACTGCTGGTGAAGAGAGAATAAAGGGATGAAGACTGAAGATATTCACTGTAAGAGCCAAGCAGCAAGAGAGAATGATAGTCTTTCCAACCGTGAGATACATCATAAACATTGGCTAATCAGGAAGAAACTAGAACATAATTGAAAAAAGGAGAAGAAAGATTTGGAGATGAAGAATTTAAGAGGATTAGTCATGTAAAATGTGGGGTTACTGGTATTTAGTAGGGTGGTGGGTCTGTGTGGGATGCTCTTCAGAGCGTTGGTGCAGTCTCGATGGGCCCAATGGCCTCTTTCCGCACTGATTTTCTGGTCTCGTGGACATGGTCAATTTGGAGAGAGCCTGAGGGAAGACAAGAGAAGAGCTAAGGCAGGGGGTAATATTTTGTTTGGAAAACAAGGCTGAATACAGGCTGAAAAGTAGCTGGCCGATGGATTCATTAATTCACAAGCTGTGTGTAGTTGGAAACCATAGAAGAGAGAGGAGAGCTCCCCTGGAGATCACAATTCCAATCACGATAATGACACAGGATGGGAAGCAAAATTCCATCCAGTTGTGATTCAGCGACAGCAACTCCAAGTGTGTAGATTTCAGTTGAGAACACATTTGGCTGTAATAATTATTTGTTGTGAGAAACAAGAGGTTCATGAGCTCTCAATCCTAGATAGCCCACCCTTTACCAGCCAGTCAATTCTGAATTCTGCGGTTTGACTCATCCTCATGTCCACATCCAACCCTCCACACCAACAGCAATCCCCTCCAACTCAAAAGTCACAGGAAACCAGGTCATAGTCCAACAGATTTATTTGAAAGCACAAGCTTTCTAAGCACTGCTCCTTTGTCAGCTCCAACCCAGCCCACCTCCTGACCCTGCAAATTCATTTCCAAACCTTCAAACCCTATCTGTGAAATATTCTCTGATCATTGAGTTACTCACTAATCTTTGAGAAAACGGAAGGATGAAAATTAAATGTGTAATCCTTTCCTTTATAAGGATGAGCATAGTTTTTTTTTATTACTTATTCATTGGATGTGGGCATTTATTTTCAAAGAATGTGAGGTGATCTCTTTGAAACATAGAGGATTCTTAAGAGGCTTGACAGGGTCAATGCGGAGAGGATGCTTCCCCCTCATGAGAGAATCCAGGACCAGAGGGTATAGACTCAGAATATAGGGGCACCGATTTAAGACTGAGATGGGGAGGAATTTCTTCTCTCAGAGGGTTGTGAGTCTTTGGAACTCCTTGCCACGAATACTATGGGGGCAGAGTCTTCGTATATATTTAAGGGTGAGATAGAGTTTCGATCAGGAGAGGAATCAAGGGTTATAGGGAAAGGTGAGCAGCATGGTGGCTCAGTGGTCAGCACTGCTACCTCACAGCACCAGGGACCCGGGTTCAATTCCACCTTCGGGCAACTGTCTGTGGGGATTTTGCACATTCTCCCTGTGTCTGAAGTCAGATATAGGCCAGACCAAGTAAGGACGGTAGATGTTTTTCCCTGAAGGAAGCGAGTGAATCAGACAGGTTTTTATGACAATGGTCACATGATGGCCATTAGGGCCAAACTCTTTTGTTAATTGAATTCAAACTTCACTGCCTGTCCTGCAGGCTTTTGGGCCCATGTCCCCAGAACATTAACCTGTGGCCTCCAGATTGCTAGTCCAGTGATGTTACCACTAAACCATCATTGCTCCTCAAAGTGGGCAAGGAAGTTACGCTAACCACAGAACTGTTACAGCACAGAAGGAGGACATTCGGCCCAGCATGTCTATTCTGACCCTTGAAATGGGCAATGCACCTAGTCCCATTCCCCTGCATCCTCCCTATAAACCTGTAAGTTTTCCTGTTTCTGATGATAATCCAAATCACCCATAAAAGCTTCTATTGAATCCTCCTTCATCACACTATCATTCCAGATCTTAGCCACTGACTGTGTGAAAAAGTTTCTCCTCATGTCATTGTTGCTTCTTTTGCTTACTCGCTGAAATCTGTGGAAACTGTTCTCAATCCTCCAGTCAACGGGAACATTGGTTCCCTACCTGGCCTGTCCAGAGCCATGTGGGGGTCTGGGGGAAGAGCAGGGGAGGGATGACAATGGGGTAGAAAGCAGCATGTACCCTGCCATCTCGATAAAACCCACTTTGTAGAATGGTTAAAGCACGGAATAAGAACATTTGTCCTGCTGCGTCCTTGCTGGCCCTCTGCAGGGACATCTCACGCAGTCGCGCTCCCCCACCCTTCCCCCATATGCATTCTTCCCAGAATCCTTCTAAATTACCCTGACTGCCTCTTCTTTAAATGCTTCTCAAAGTCCCAGTCTTACAGTCACACAGCACAGAAACAGATCCTTCGGTCCAACCAGCCCATGCCAACCACATTCCCAAACTAAACTAGTCCCACCTGCCTGTACTTGGCCTATATCCCTCCAAATCTTTCCAGTTCGTCAACTTATCCAAATGTCTTTTCAACGTTGTAACTGTACCTGCATTCACCACTTCCTCAGGAAGTTCATTCCAAGCACGAAACACCCTCCTTGTGAATAAAACGTTGCCCCTCGTGTCTTTCCTAAACCTTTGTCCTCTCTGACCAAAAATTCTCGCACTCTCCGTCTTCCTTCTACTTCTGACGAGTCCTTTATGAAGCACCCCCTGGGAAACCCTCCCACAGGAGACGGCACTATCCAAATGTAGGTTGGTGCTTGCTGGCTCAGAGCAGAGACCTCAGGCCACCAAAAACCACGCAGAGAAAACGCTGAAGTAACAAACGAAGGAACCGCATTCCTGAGTGAACTTGAAACTTGCAATAGGTGGAATATGAACTTGCATCACTCACTGGTACAGGCTGCTGTGGCACAGCTTCACATTGTCCAAACTTTATCTTCAGGGCTGGGTCCAACTTTTGTCCATGCAGAAATCATACCTACACACCAATGAACATTCCAGAGTTAGCACATCAGCCTGGCTGGGCAGGAGTTGAACAAACATGGGCTGGAACAGTCTCTCACATTGTCTAACCCAAATGACTCAAGCGACTGTTTTATCCATTGGGAGAAGGGAATGGGGGCATGTCATCGATATTCCAGACACACAATGTTTTCAAGAGACCAGATTGGATCATTAACCACTTAGTCAATATCCCCAATTCACCGCGGGCACTGCCTCTGTGGCAAACGTGTCCCCCTCCCCAAGATTAATCACTGAAATTGCTGGCAGAACTCAGCAGCATCTGTGGAGAGAGAAAGCAAAGTTAATGTTTTGAGTTCAGTTGCCCTTCTTCAGAAGATAGCGGCAAGGAAAAGATGACGTTTGTGCTGAAGGCAGAGGGTGGGGTGGGGAAGGGGAAGAGTGAGAGGATAAGCAGAGATGGACTGCAGACAGAAAGAGAAGAGGGGAGGGGGGAGAATGACATAGAGACCAAAGGATCAATAACAGCGTATCAGGGGAAGGAAAAGCTGCTCATTGACACCATTTGTGGGTTGAATGGGTTGGCTATGCTGAAAGCAGTCCATGTGAAGACAGGACCTGTGATATGGGGATGCGTAAAGGACATGGAAGGAGGTGTTCAAGCCCTAAAATTATTGATCTTGATACTGAGTCAAGAAGGCTGCAGGGTCCCCAAGCACAAAATGAGACGCTGTTATAGAGTCATATAGATGTACGGCACAGAAACAGACCCTTCAGTCCAACTTGTCCATGCTGACCAGATATCCTAAATTAATCTAGTCCCATTTAGCAGCATTTGGCCCATATCCCTCTAAACCATTCTTATTCATATACCCATCCAGATGCCTTTTAAACGTTGTAATTGTACCAGCCTCCACCACTTCCTCTGGCAGCTCATTCCATACACGCACCACCCTCTGTGTGAAAAAGTTGCCCCTTAGGTCCCTTTTAAATCTTTCCCCTCTTACCTTAAACCTATTCCCTCTATAAGGTCACCCTGCATCCTCCAACACTCCAGAGAAAATAGCCCCAGGCTATTCAGCCTCTCCCTGTAGCTCAAACCCTCCAACCCTGGCAACATCCTTGTAAATCTTCACTGAACCCTTTCCAGTTTAGCAACATCTTTCCTACAGCCAGGAGACCAGAACTGAACACAGTATTCCAAAGGTGACCTAACAAATGTTCTTCCAGCTTGTGCTGAGTTTTGCTGAAGCACTGCAGCAAGTCTGAGACAGAGATGTTGGTCAGGGAACACCGTGCTGTGTTGAATCCCGGCAAGATCAACTTGCTTCCAAACTTGTAAGAGACTTACAAGAAAGCCAGGCAGCCCAGGGGGGAGAAAGCCCAATACACAGCTTACAGTAAAATGTGAACAGCACTGTATGACATTAGGGCTGGAGCAACCAGGTGGTGATATAGAGCTGCTACTCACTGGGCTTAAAGAGCACAACGTGGGTGGAGCTAGTTAGAAATGTCTCTGTGAAACAGACAGAGGGTAGCATACGTAGAGAATAGTCTTAATAATATAACAGTAAGATTAGAGCCTGGTAAATCTCAGATTACCATGTTTATTGGTAGTTAGCATTAAGATGCAACACTATGTAATCATGGCGGAGACAGTACCAATAAGAACCATAGAACTAGGAGCAGGAATAGGAAATTTAGCCTCTCAAGCCTGTTATGCCATTTAATATTACCATAGCTGATCTCATCTTGGTCTCAACTTCACTTTCCTGCCCCCTGTGCATAACCCTTCAACCCTTTACAACCTAATTAAAAAGCTATCTCCTGCTTAAACTATTTCAGCATCCCAGTGTGAGAGAGAAGTAATTCCTCCTCATCTGTTTTAAAACTGCCACCCCTTAGTCGAAAACCATGACCTCCCATTCTAGATTGTCCCACACGAGGGATCCTTCTCTCCAAGTCTACTTTGTTAATCCACTTCAGCATCTCATGTGCTTCAATTAGATCTCCCCTCATTCTCCTAAACTTGAGCTAGCACAGGCTTTAACTGCACAATCTCTCCTCATAAAACAAAGCCTTTCATCTCTGGGATTAATGTCATCGGACTAGTAATCCAGAGCCCAAGGCTGATGTTCTGGGTACAAAGGTTTGGCTCCCACCATGGCAGATGGTGAAAGATCTGGAGTAAAAGCTGCCTAATTGTCACCAATGTCAATTGTCAAAAATACCCATCTGGTTACGTTAGGGGTGGGAAATCTGTATCCATAACTGGCCTGACCTACATGTCACTTCAGACCCACAGCAATATGCTTGACTCTTAACTGTTCTCTGAACAATTAGGATTGGGCAATAAATGCTGGCCTGGACAATGATGACTACATTGTCCTGGGAGTGTGGTCAAGGTATGAAACCTCACAACCTTTAATAAGTCCTTAAATGCCTTCTGGACAATTAGGGATGGACATTAACTGCTAGTCCAGGCAGCAACGCAGATATTGCAGGAATGAATAAAAACAAAAAGCTTTATAAAGAGGGCGAAGACTGAAGACGGTTTTTGATCAATCTATGTGATTTGGACAAATTGAACGAGCGGGCAAATACCTGACAATTGGAGTATAATTGGAGCAAAAAATAGTCAGGTAGATTCTTATCTGAATGGCAATTGAGTTGGAAAAGGGGAGGTGCAGTGAGACCTGGGTGTCCCCATACGCCCAGTCACTGAGAATAAGCATTGCAGGTGCAGGAGGTGGTGAAGGAGGTAAATGGGATGTTGGCCTTCATAGCAAGAAGATTCGAGTGCACGAGCAGGGATGTCTTGCTGCAATTGTACAGGCCCTTGGGGAGATGACACCTGGAGTACTGTGTGCAGTCTTGATCTCCTTATCTGAGGATGGATGTTGTTGTGATGAAGGGAGTGCAAAGTAGTTTTATCAGACTGATTCCCAAGATGGCAGGACTGGCCTAATCCTTTTAAGACTGAGATGAGGAGGAACTTTTTTCACCCCGAGAGTGGAATTCTCTGCCGCAGAAAACGGTTGAGGGGGAGAACCTGACTCACCACTTGTGAAGCCAATTGTCTCCTCATTGACCTCATGGTCGCTGGTGGATTGGCAGCACAATCTCCACCTCACCCCTGAACCGCAAGCAAACAGCACGGTGGATCCCTAGGATGGGGCAGGGACATTAGGGGCTGTAGCACATGTGTATCTTAATCTCCATTCATCCATACTGCCTAGTCTTCAATCGTCTCAGCTATCCCTGCCATTGCACACAGACCCCAGCTCCTCGTCTCTGTTCTAAGCAAACAAAGCTGCCCTTGTTCAGCAGTGAATAAGCCACATGTATATCATTCCCAATTCTTTACCAAACAACAGACGTCATTTTTACAGTACAGGCCTCCCCTGAGTAACATGCCCCTCCTGTGACCAGGCTGAGGGATTTTATTGTTCCCTAAGAAATCAGTCCTGTGTGTATTGTTAGTACACAAGCCCTTTGTTCATACACTTGCACTGCTTGTTGTTATTTGTTATTCCAGCATAAGTTCTAGAGAGTTTGAAACAAGCTTGAATGAAAATAGGAGCAAATTATTGCAGATTCTGGAATCTGTACTGAAACCAAAAAATGCTGGAAGTCAGAGCTCTGATGAAGAGTTATCTAGACTCAAAACGTCAGCTTGCTCTCTCTCCACAGATGCTGCCTGCCCCACTGTGATCTCCAGCATTTTCTGTTTTCAGTCTTGTGTGAAAATAGTTTTCTTTATCCTCTCACAGACCAAGAACAGGACCAATGTTCACTGAAGTTGGCCATTATTTGGCCTGGAAAGGAGGGGATTGATGCATCATTTCAGAGACAGCCACGTTGCTGTGTGTCTGGAGTCACATGTAGGCCAGACCAGGTAAGGACAGCAGATTTCCTTCCCTAACGGGCATTAGTGAGCCAGATGGATTATTACCACAATGGTTACATTAGGCCAGCTTTGTAATTCGGGATTTTAGTAAATATAAATGCCATGGTGAGATTCTCAGCACGTGAGTCGAAGGTTCTGGATTAAAAAGTTCAGCGATTAGTGCTGATTTCCTTCATGAACGAACGAGATTACATTTTGCAATAATTCATGATGGCTCACATGGTCACTATTAGCGAGACTAGCTTTTATTTCCAGATTTATTAGCTGAATTGGAATATAGTTGCCATGGCTGGATTTGAAGCTCTGTCCCCAAAATATTAGGCAGCAGCATTAGATTACCAATCTAGGGACATTAGCATTACCTCACTACCATCTCCCCTTGAATGGAACATGAAGCACAAAGTCTCCAGTCCTTTCCCCACAGTCCTATCATTTGTTTTCTCCTCAGATAATTCTCCGTCTCCATTTTGAAATCCTCAATCGAAGAGGGTTTTGAAGAAAGACTGATTAGCGGACTCTTCAAAAGACAACAAAGAAGTCAGCAAGGTCAAAAAAGAGATAATGCAACTCTCTCAGAGTCACAGAGAATGTCTTTTGCAACTTTGGTAAAGGTAAATATGTCATGTCATATTAATTATACAGGGGACTGTTCCTTCGAAAAATAGTTCACCCTCTATCCTGATTCAAGTTCACTGCTTCATCAAATTCACTCATGTCCTTCTGTCCTCGATTCTGAAAAAAACGGTCAGCACACTCTGTACTGTTTAAGGTCATTGTGTATCCTGCTGCTATTCATTTCCAATAGATGGAACCTTCTTAACACCATCATTCATTTGGTCAGCTTTTGACTGGGCTGTAAAGATATAAAACACGTCCTGCTGTTGGGTTACACTAGCTGGAAGTAAAGGTAACATCTTTGAAAAAAAGTGGCTCCCCTTTGAATTTATTTAGTCTGGTTTCACACATAGAGCCCTCTATTCGATTGCTCACAAAGACCCCATGGTCTTTGGAGATAACATAACGGGGTACAAAATGGAGCAAGATAACGGACAAAGACACATACCTCCCTGACCCGCTCAATGCTTTCTATGCTCAGTTTGAGCAGA